CACCCTCGTCTAGACCTCATCACCACTCACCATACTCTTGCACCAGTCCCAGCCCTGGTCACTCAGTGGTCTCCTCTCCACACTGTAGCCACAGGGATTTTTTCTAAAGCACACATCTGTTTAAAGAGTCTCTGTGGCCTCTGGATCCTGATACAAACGCAAGGCTGCCAACCCTGATCAGTGAATCCTGTTCTTCCTACTTCCCTCTGCCCTGGAACATGTTGGTTTATCCAAGAATGACCTTGGAGGGCATTGCCTGATGGATGAGTTTTATCTTCAGAAGCCTGGTGCCTCCCGAGGCTGCCCTCTAGCCAGAGATGTCCTCAGCCTCCGTAACACTTGGTGAGCCTTTGGGGGCCTGGGGGAGAGTATGGCCCTCCTGCATTCCTTTGCCTGAAAACTTCTTTTCCCTGGGGATAAAGATGGGGCAGGAAGCCATGCATTGGGTAGTTCCTTAGTTTAAAGGAAAAAGAAAAGCGTCCTCAGTCCGTGTGAGCATGTTACATACATGTGCATTAGAATCCTTAATGATTCTTTGGAGAGAGGTTAAATTTATGTGTGGTTTATCCAAACGATGTCTCTCCGGTGGGGACAAAACCACCCTATTAAACAGCATTTGTGATGCATAGGGGGAAAAAAAAGAAAGCAAAAAAAGAAAAGAAAGAAGGAAACCCTGAACTCCAAGAGCGTGAGAAAACAAAGGGGAAATCGAAATTGTGGATCTGCCAGGAACCTGCCATTCATAGAGCCCACAAATCACAGGGAAACAAAGAGAAATAGAAAGATTTGGTATTAAAAACCCATTTTTCCCTGAACCTGTGCCAGCACCTATAAAACAATTACATGTGATCATATTTGAGGCTGTTCTGAGACACTAATTCTTCTCCTGACATTAAAATGTGCGTGTTGCTTTCAAAATGCCGCCCGCAGTCAAGAAGGGCCCCCCTGAGAAGGGCAGACTGGATTGCCGGCGGGCGGGCCCAGCCTTCGAAAACTCTATGGTTTTCTTCCTTTTCTGCCTGGGAACTTCCCTGTGGAGCTGCTGATTTTTGACCACCGCCCTGTGATATCTTTGTGTGGCTCTCAAATGGCACCCTGGTTGCCAGGAGACCAGACAAACGGGTAGATGGTCTCCTTAAGTCCCCCCCTCCAAAATAGGAGAGAAACCCACCAAAGCTCACGACCAGGAGAAGGCACTGAGGCTCCACGTGTGGCCCAGGGCGGAATGACCGCCTGCCCTCAGTGTCCGCGGAGAAAGCCGACCGTGGACCCATTTGGCCACGCGAAGTTCCTCACCGCCTTCAATAGGTCTTTGACCTCAGACTCAACAGGGCCCCTGTGTGAAGTCGTCTGTTAGTTTTGAAAGCCTTTTCATTTTGACAGGTGAGCACCTCATCAGAATTACCCTGTGCAAAGATGTCAGGGAAAATGTACAGGAGGAAACGGGAAAATGTGAGGGAGCGAGCGGAGGCGTCCTGGGCCCTGGCCTTCCTGCACAGGCGTATTTATTTCCCGTGCATTCGCTCTGTGGGCCTTTCCCCTCATCCAGGCTTAGACGTAAAAATGCACAAAAGACAGGTGATTCCCCGGCTTTGGCTCCTTGCCGGCACGGCTTCAGGGGTGCACCTCTCGGCAGGGGGCCCACCTTCAGATCAAATGTGGGGTTATTTCCAAATTGAGCTTTGAGGGGTGGAGCCCTGAGAAGGGGAGGCAAGAAGAAAAATAGGTGAATTAAGTGAAAAGCATGTTGTGGGCCAATTTAATCAGGGTTAATATATCAGGCCTCATATTGTTTTTGGAACTGGCTTCGGGAGTAACAGGATCCCTGACAAGCTGTAGCCAGCCCTACTAGGGAGTGACTCTGCAGTTCACACACCGGTCTGAGGAAAGCCCAGCACCGAGCAGCAAGTGGCAGGTCCCCTCTGGGCACAGGGTGGGCCGTGGGGCCAGCCATGCTCACTCCCTCCTGGGTCTTGCTGCCCTGCTGCTGGTGTGTGACAAAGGCTGCGAGTCCAGGCCTCCGGGCAGCATGGCCAGCCCCAGGCCTGTGTGGGCCTGCCCCTGGCTGGAGGGGTGTGAGGGGGACACCTGGCCATGCTTTCAGAAAGCTCCCTCACTGCTGGCTGCAGGCGATTCCTCCTCCATCGGGGCCTAGAAAGGGGGCAGGCCCTGGTCTCGCAGTCTCAGCAAGGGGACCTGGGGAAGGTGTGTGATTTAATCCCTGAGTTTTGCCAATGGAAAACGAACGGCCCAGAGTGTGAAAGGGGTCTGACTCTCCACATATGCTACCAACCCAAGGGACGACTCAGGATACCGAGAGCCACTTGCTCTCAGAACGCGCCAGGCGGAGCCGACCTTTCCTGTGCTGGGGACCCCAGGATCACGTATCCTTGGCTTGGTTTTCCTCACAGACTCTGAGGATCACCTGAGCCAGGGCTTCTCAACCCCCTCCTCAGAGCTCCCCGTCCAGGGAGGAAGGGCTGCCCCTCCGCTTTTTTAGCACGGGCTTGATTTGCCTGTTGTATCTAGCAGGCTGGGGAAAATCCCATGCCTTGGGCTCAAATGCAGCCTTCCCGGTTACGAGCTGTGTGGCTTTGAACATGTTATCCCACCTGCTCTGTGCCCCCAGTTCCCGCCTCTGTACAGTGGGGAGGAGAAGAATGGTGCCTGCTTCACAGGATTGCCATGAAGAGTCAGGGAGGTGATATACGTACGCTCTGCAAAAAGGCCTGGACAAATCATCACTCAAAAATGTTACTGCTACCATTTACTAGTATTATCATGGTCATTATCATATTAGAGTTGTGGAAAAGATTCCATTTGAAGAAAAAGAGGGGAGAGGTTGAAAGATAAAACACGTTTGAAATCCACTGATTTGGAACAGAAGTGATCTATTGTGGTTAATATTATTTATCACCTTGACTTGGCCATGGGTGTGCCCAGATATTTGACCAAACATTATTCTGAGTGTTTCTGTGAGGGTTTTTTAACATTTAAATCAGTAGACTGAGCAGAGCAGATTGCTCTCTGTAAGGTGGGTGGGCCTCACCCAATCAGTTGAAGGCCTGAATAGAACAAAAGGGCTGGCCCTCCCTGACTTAGAGAGAACTCTCCTGTCTGATGGCCTTTGAATTGGGGCATTGACTCTTCCTCGTTCTCTAGCCACCTGCCTGCCTGTGAACTAGAACTGGGACATCAGCTCTGCAGATTTTGGACTTGCCAGCCTACATATAATAAATGTGTGTGTGTATGTGTGTGTGTGTATGTGTGTGAGTGATACATGTGTGTCTAAATATGTGTGTATATTATTAAACACACATAATAATATACATATTATATATAATCTCCTATTGGTTCTGTTTCTCTGGAGAACCCTGACTAATACATGACCTGTGGGCCAAATTTCGTGTGAGTGTGTATATATGTGTAGGCACACATATATGTATGCTTGTCTACATATTTTCATATTTAATCCAAATGTCTGAAGATTTGGCAGCAACATTCTCAAATTGACTGGAGGTGATTTTAACTGTCCCCATCAGACAAGGCATGTAATCTCCAGTTTTACCCCACCCCAACACATATATTCCCCTTTACAGCCAGTTCCATGTAGACAATGGAGAAAAATTCCAAGGGATACTGGGAAAATTGGCTGCTCTCCAGAATACAGGATTCATTCATGTAGTTAAGAGTCACTGTCGGAGGCAAGGTCAACGTGAATAAGACATGGGTTGCTTCATTTAAGGAGCTCACCATCTATTGGAGAAGACAGATGTTAAGTGGAAAAGCCAAGTCCTGAATAGTAAGTGCTAGGACAGAGGAAAGGCAGGTTCTCTGGGGTTATTGAATCTGGGGTAGTGAGGATGGCAAGGAAGGCCACTAAAAAGTGGGAGAGCATTGAGCTGAGTCTTGAAGGTTGCATATAAGGTTAGACAGGTGGAGAAGAAGATGAAAGATACTCTAAGCAGAGGGAATCGCTTGGGCAAAGAAAGGTCCTGTGTTAAGCAGAGCAGAATGGTGAGAGAACTGTTTCCCATAGCTGGGCACCTGGTGGCTCTCAGGTGTTGAGCCTGGAGACAATGGAGAGAGAACTGTTTCCCAGAGCTGGGCACCTGGTGGCTCTCAGGTGTTGAGGCCAGAGACATAAGGAGTGGCAGGATCATCAGGACCATTTTTCTTGAAAATGATTCAAGACCATTGAGGTTTTTTGTTTTGTTTTTTTGGTTTTTTATTTTTTAGCAGAGAAATGACTTATGTTTCCACTTTAGGAAGATCTCTCCAGCTGCGCCGTGGAGAATGGATTGAGAGGGGAGGCAAGGCCAGGTGACAAGGAGTCTCCAAGGCAGATCTGGAAATCTAAAATTTCCTTTCAAGTAGCTAAAGCTTGGATCCCTATGTAGTGTATGTGGGATAAGAATTTAATCTCTATCACACTTCAATGTGAGTGAGTTCAGGGACTTTCCCCAAGAGCAGGTTTTCATGGTAGGAGGTGTGGAGGGCACTAGGGCATTAAAACAAACTTCACTGGCCTCATGATTTTGCCCAGGTTCTATCCTGTGAAGAGGGACCATGCAAGAGCTCAGTAATGACCTTGGGAAGGTTGTTGCTGTGCTTCTGTACGAAATATTGTGCAGCAAATCACAGGTCTTCTTTCCCCCTGCTGATCCTGTTCATGGCTTTCTTCTTGGAAGGTGACAACCAGATTTCCTTTACTCCCTAAGACCATCAAATTGAAAACAATAATTTCAGACATCCACAGGACTCGGAATGAGACTGAATGCTCAATATTAACTTTTCCTTTGTCCAAACAAACAGAAATCAAAACCAGTTAGCCAGGATGAGCCCCAGGGAGGAGGCCTCCAATTGTCGACTTTCACTCTGGCTCCCACGCTGGGCTGTTTGTTTATAAAACAGGAGGGCATTTAGAGAGGCAGCAACTAGCATGTTCTTGCCAGCAGGCTTCCTCCATAAGTGGGATTTCCCTGTGTCAGCTTGCCATCCTCCAAGGAACATGGTGAACACTGCTGAGTCAACCTGGTCCTCAACCCTGAGGTGTCCCAAGGCCCATTGGAGAGGGTGGAGGTGCCTGGACTTAGCCAAGGAGCACGGGAGATGTGAGGCCTTAGTGTTGGCTCCCGTCTTTCCCTCCACCAGGGCTCATGGATAGACGCTCAAAGGCAGATGGTCATGAGGAAGGTCGAAAGAATTTTTTGTGGTCTTTGTTTCCCTATTCTCCCCCACCCCTCAGCCTTGGAAGGGGCCTCACACACCATTTGTTGAGATACCATTACTC